CAAAGAGTTAGTACTATTGGTGGTCCCGTAACTAAGATGACTTTATCAGAATGAACTTGATTGTCAGACCAAGAGCACCTATCATAGAATAACTTATAAAAGATTTTGAATTATATTTTATTAATATTACTTAAACCCCAACATATTTGACTTATGTTTACTTGATATCTTAAGTTTTGTCTTGTAAGTCCTTTAGACAGTTCTTCTTCATTTATGGATAAAAATCAAAATATTTTGAATAAAATTAATATATCTTCGCAATCAACAAAGATTGCTAAAATTGAAAATGATTTACAAAACTGGAGTATTCCAGAAGAACCTTACAAAAAGATTTATCAATTAGGTAACTTTAGTTTCCTCACTCGTTGCAATATCAAGACTTGTGAATCTACTATTGCCATTAACAATTCTTCTGAAATTGTTCGTCTTCTTAAAGACAAAGATCTAGACAGGTACAAATCTAGCTTCAACTATTTGCATATTGGTTTAGTTCAAGTTGCTGTAAAACCTCTGTTCAGAAAAGGTCTTGATATTCCTGTCTGCGTTCTCCTTAGAGATGACAGATTTCTTAATTTTGATGATTCCCTTCTTGGATTACTCCAAAGTAATCTCACTGATGGACCAGTTTACTTCAACTGTTATCCTAACTTCTCGGTTGACATTAATGATCCTAATGTCACAGACACTCTGACTCTCAATGTCAAAACCAAAAATCTCAATAGCAAAACGGATTCTAGAGAAATTGTTGTAGTCTATAGGGTTTATTATAGACTTATGAAAACTCAACTTGCTCCAAAAGCGTGTCTTGAAAGCGTCAGAGGAGAAACCATGCTCATGGAAGCTAACCACTCACATAGTTCCATTTTTGTTCCTAGAACCTTATAATGGAAGGATATTCTCTCAAATAACGAATGGCATTTTGAGAACATTACGCAACCTTTTACTTCTCATCCCCCACGATCCCAAATAGAAAGGGTTATTCAGTTTCCCGATGGATCTATTGATCTAAAATTTCTTGAGAATCCATCAATGAGATCTTCATCTGCTCGACGATCGTCCTGGTCACCCTCCTCTTCGTGCCCTTCTAAGACGACTCACCAACCATCTTCTTCCAAAACTTTCGAAGAAGAAGAAGACAACATTACTATTGCAAACAGTGATATAGATAATAGTAAAGGTAAAGTAACAGGGGTTGATTTCAGAGGTAATGTACCTAAAGTTTATTACCAAGACATTTCAGGGAGTCCTACAGCAAGCGAAATGGAACCGCCTACTGATAAGCCTGCCTGGTTGGGAATGTTAAAGGTAAACAAACCCTTTGAACCTAATCCAACTATTCTACAGGAACAATGGATTCACCCTGACAATCAAGTCAGAAGAAAATGGTATGTTTCCTCTTATACTCTTAAGCAAAGAGAAAATTTCAGGGAAATTTGGATGATAGATATGAGAAGAATAGGTTGTGAAATCGACTTCTTCAAGTGGTTTGAAATGACTGGTAGAATTGAAAATTGTACTGAGTCTTTACAAGTTATCATTAATAAATGGTATACATCTTCTAACAAAA